CGAAAGCGACGTCTCTCATGCGCTAATTTATTCATTAAAGTCAATAGTACCGAGAGGAGAGGGGTTGCTTGTAACTCGCAAACTCCTCGACTTTACTCTACGGATGACTTTCTATTACGTACGTTAAGTAGCTTTGTCAAATCGGACGTTTTGCTTATGTACGCTTTAGCCCGGCAGTTACAACTCCAAGCACCTATAAGATGCATACAATTCCGCTAGAGAGTTAATTAATGCGCGAACCTTTAACGTTCATTATTTTAGGCTTTTCGAGTTTCCCCAATTAAGCATATACCGATTCACTACAATTTCAGACTCGTTCCAAAAATACATTCAAACACCAATTAAATGAAAAATGTGATTAAATAGTTTGTAGTGCCGTGATTTAAGCTGTGTAATTAAATATTGTCGGTAATATGTTATTTCGACATTTATATGTATATTATATCTCATTTACTCGTAATACGCTAATGACTTTAAATGCTTATTTGGATAATTTATTTTTGATAAGTTGCCTACTTCATTTTGCCCAATGTTGAGCCTTACGTTAAGAAATATTTATAATCATATGTATATATCATAGTTTAGTATTATAAAGAACTTTTGCGTGTCAACAAATATTTAAGGACTGCAATTTTTATATTTTTAATGGAAGCACACGATATCGTTCATGAAATTATTATTAACATATCCCATTATATTGTCCATAGATATATATATATATATATATATATATTTTTTTTTTTAGTAAACGACATTAGTCATTGATCTTACAAAGCCGTTTATCGAAACACTCGGTATAGAACATATCTCTTCATTTAACCTCAACTGTTCTTTAAATACGAAATAAACGATTAATAGCCAAGAAAGTTTTAAGAGATGAATTAACTATTATTAAGCTTTCGCAATTATCGTATATAGAGTATATGAAATGTCATCTTGAATAATTTTAACCCCGGCTATTGCCTCCGTCAAATATAGCAAATTCGATTCCCTTATCTATTTAAGCACCGGGCAGAGTCAGAACTAGCATATCGGCGTGCAAAACCAAAATATAATAAAAAATATTTTCCTCTATTATACAGAAGTGCGCCTTCGGTATTCGGTATATAATCGCATATTCAACCTATTAATTTTAATTTACCTCCAGCCGACTCTCCCTCTCCATATCCCGCGTATTCATAATATAAAATTCTAATTTCAAACTTATTATAACCTGGAAAAATAATCTAGAGGCTATTCTCATTAATCATGCAAGTTAGTTATGCTATCGGTAATACGCCAATCGACTATATTAAATCGACTAAAAATATCAGCGAGAAATCCGTCGATTGCCTCGCAACTTATAATGCACAGTTGCCGAATAAAATACTAAACGAGACCAGCGCCATTGCCACACATACAATGTATTCTTTAGGGCTAAGAGCGTAGCGCGTTTGAGGGCAAAAAGTACGGAGAAACGATAAAAGGGTGCGAAGCATGTAACGTGCATTACGCGCTGCTCTTTCCTCAGCCGCGCTTTACATTGTTGCTCGTGAGATTATGCGAGGCCGCGCAGACATTTTTAAAAAGCCCGCGCTCCCAACTCATCCCGCACAAAGCCGTGGGTGGCCGCTTCGCGTGTATGTCTAGAATAATGTATTTAGACGCGCTTTTTTCGCCGGTGCGCGCCCTCTTACCCTACCACCAGCCATTTCCAATGCTTTATGTGAAGTGCGTCGTGAAATCTCATTATATTCCGGGGTGAACGCGATACAGCGTCGCCCATTATACATCCGGCGCCCGAAACATTTGCCCGCGCGTCCACGCCACTGTCCTCCGACCCCGTTATTCTATTTTTTCTATTTTGTTTTTTGTTTCGTTTGCTCCTCATTTCGGCATGCAGCGGGCATTCCCGAAATTTATTCGCTCGTATACGGCGCGCGAACTCGCGCGGAAACTCTAATTTGTTTTAATGACAAACTGTAGTGTACGAGGGAGTGGGTGAAGGCGAAACGAGGAGGAACGAAGAGGAACGAGTGGAAAACGAGAAGGAGTGGGCGGAAGGTGGAGGAGGAGGATCGGAAAGATCGGAAGGATCAGGAGGAGCAGGAGAAACAGGAGGAGCAGAAGGGCAACGACGACGACGACGACGACGACGACGACGACGACGACCTATTACCTATGCGCGAGCATGAGAGGTAGGGTAGAAACGTTACGTCCGCGCTATTACCTATGCGCGAGCATGAGAGGTAGGGTAGAAACGTTAATCGCGTTTCGCGATATGTGGCCTTCGAGAGCCAATTAAAACGGCAAGCGCTCTTCTCGCGCAATCGGCGACGTCTAATTTTATTTCCAATAAAAATGCGAAAGACCAAGGGGGAGGAGAGACAGCAGGGACTCAAGGATGATAGGGAGGGTGGAAGGAAGGGAGATAGAGAGAGAGAGAGAGAGAGAGACAGAGAGAGAGAGAGACAGAGAGAGAGAGAGACAGAGAGAGAGAGAGAGAGAGAGAGAGAAGGTTGAGATAGAGGGGGAAAGAGAGTGATATGTCGAGAACACGTTTCATTACTTACGCGTGTTGCGAGCGGAGGCACAAGGGCGAGCGGTCCTGCGAAATTTTTCTCCGCAATTATAAATAGAACTTCCTCTGCGAGCGCGAGAACGGATGAAAATTTTATTTTACGCGTAAAGATGAATGTCTGCGAGAAATGAGCTAGGCTGCTGTATTTTCGTATTTTTTATTAGATTTCTACGAAGATATCGCTCGCGGTTATGCTCGCAAACTCAAAAACCAAATCTCACTTTCTATTCGAGAGAGGCCAGTGCTGCTGTTTCAATATTTTTATTTTTATTCTTTTTTACGCCCAGCCTCGTTTGTCTGTCGCGAATCAACAGTGATAAATAATAATGATTTGTGAGATGCGTATTTTTGGGGCTGCGCGATCGCTGACTATTAGCGACTGACGCAAGCGCCTAAGAAAGAGTTAAAACGGCCGTAGAAAATTTTCCATACCCTGTGATTTACACAAATTTGATAAAGTTGAATTTATCGAGGCTTATCGACGGCGAAGCCGAGTCTCTTTTCGCAAGCAGAGAAAAAGGTATGATGGTAAAAAAGCAGAATTTATCGAAAACGAAACATCGATTAACGTGAAAACGCGAAAAAAATAAAAGGGGCAACAAGAATAAATAATCGAATGAATAAATAAATAAATAAATAAATAAATAAATAGGAGAACCGTGGGTGATCTCGACCTAAGTAACATCCTTCTCTTATTCTCTTATCCTTCTCTTCTTATTTTTTTCTCTACATTTTCGTTTTTTGTTTTTTGTTTTCCATATTTGTTACTTTTAGTTTTAGTTTTTTTTCATTCGACCGATAAAAGAGAATAGATAAACTTATATAGACAAAACACAGCGGGCTGGGCACACGTACGTGTGTCGTGCACCATCGAGTTGCAGCCCGGGCGGTTGGATTCGCGCGCTCGCTTCATCTCTTTGTTCTCCATTTTACTCGGCTGGCTTCTCCCCCGGTTTCTATTCCAACGTATTTTTTTTTTTCCACGGCGCCCATAAGCACCTCCGCTTCCGTTTCACTGGCCGCCGAGCGATATTCACGTGCACGGAAGGGCAGGACGAGCCTGTATATACGTGCTCGTGTAAAATAAAAAAAGACAAAAAATAAAATAAAATGAAAAACGAGGAGGATGGGAGGAAAGGAGAAGAGAGCGGGTGAGCACGCGGGAAAAAGAAGGAAATGGCTGCTGCGGGTCTCGGGCGCGCACCAAATTCAAATGCATTCGACACCTCCCGCGCGCCACCCATCGAGGGGCCGTGAGCTCGAGGGAGACTCCGCGCATGTGAAAGAGCGAGGGTCTGTATCTCGACTATTATAGACGCGAGCGGCGATGATCAAAAAATTCGCTAAATAACAAAAGATTCCACGGATGGCGAGAGCCTCTCGCCTCTTTTTTTCGTGGATCAGCCAGCCAAAGCTTTTGCGGCAAGCTTTGACTCCCCGCCCCGAGCCGCCGACACCGCCCGCTACTATCCCGTCCTACCCTCGGGCTCTCTCCCCCCTCCCCCTCCCTCCCCCCTTCGCCCCTCTCCGCCCAATCCTCACGCGCCGCTCTACGATCCACCACCTTGTCAACGATGTGCCAGTGTACGTACTCATTGGCGGCCAAACGTATCACGCTATATTTAAAAATCGGCGCGCTCTCCTGGAAAGTATACATACAAAGAGCGAGAGCGAGACAAGCGGGCCATCAACTCCAAACGCACCCACACGGAGAGATGGACCATGCGCCTCGATGTAACGTAACATCAGGGTTTATTAAAATCCACGAGCAGAGGCGCGCGCACAGGTTGACGCGCAGAGACACGAGAGAGCCCATGGGCAGCGACACGTAACAAACAGATACGCGAGCCACAAATCCCTTGGCCAGCGCCGTACGAGACCCGCGCACATACGTAAACACGCGGCGCGTATGCGAGTCCCAGCACGGGGCGGGGGAGGAGATGGTCGTATTGTCATGGACGCCCTCTTTTTTTCAGAGGTTTTATTTCGCTCCCTCGGCACGGCTTCCACTTGATATTTCCTCCGTTCTTTCCCCTCGCACCACTTTTTTTCCCCTTGTTTCTCTTTTATCCCCACCCCTCCCCGCCCTGTCGGCGCGTGCATGAAATTATCATTTTAATAAATGCCCCCGGTGCAAGCGACGCGAACAACGATTCACGCTTGGCGTGCACTGAACGTAAACTGATACCATAAGATTTTAATGCTGCCGCTGCTGCTAATGCTCTTCACGAGTGGATTTTTTTTCTCGCTCCGTGAGCTTTGTTATGCACGCGCGATGGTAGAGAAACTAATGTGGCGAGCGCGGCGTTGGCGAGTCGTCCGATGAACCTCGATAAACTAGTGACAAACGCTTTATGAAATTATCTGTTCATTTACGCTAATGATGATTATTTCCAATGCTACAGAGTGTAGGATAGAGTAAAATAAAGTGGTACGTTACCAGTGAGTCTTTTCCATTTAGTAATGAGTCGGATGAGTGCGGCCCGTTCGGATAACTCACCTAAAACGGTAAAGAATACAATTTTATATTATATGACGGATTTTATGACATTTGCTTAGGGATTATGACATTTCTTAATTCTCGCTCCGTACTATGCACGCACGTATAAGCAATGCGTGGGGGATCGCAGCAAATGCGTACACGTGTGTGCGGGCCTTACTTTCTTGATTATTATACATAAGTCTTAATATTTTAAGAGAAATTTCTTTATGAATATATTAAAACTTAAAATATACTTGCTTATTATTTTTAATTTCAATGTGCCGAGACACCTTAAATTGTATTAACATTGCATTATGCATTATGTTTCTTAATAAATGAGCATGTTTATCGTCGGCGTTATTATAGTTTCATCGTGAGTAAATGAAATAAATTAAAAATAAATCAAAACGAAGATTTTATAAAAAAAAACTTTTAACTTTAGTTTCATTCTTCCTCATGCAAATGTTACGTACAATTCGCATTTATACTTATGCAGATTATTTCACATAAATTCAGGAAGATGAAACAATTATTAAAGCACAAAAATTCACCAGCATTTTTAAACAATCAATTTTTTTGGATTATGAAGTTGAAAGCTACATTTTTCTCTGTATTTCAAAATACGGCAAACAAAAAATTTCAGGATACTTGAAATATACGAGTAATTTATTAACACTTTAATTCTGATCAAATATATGCCATCCGAATAACTCATTGCACAATAAATCGAATGGATAACATATACATTGATAACAAATATATATTGATAAAAGACGCTCAGTTAAATAACAACTAGTTATAAATATATAAATAAGCAAATAAATAAACCAACTAGAGATATGATATTATTAATTTTGATGATGAAGTATTTAAAGAATATAGTTCGAAAAAATATTTTATCCTAATTAATTTTATTTTTATTCTCGCTTAAATTCTAGCTTACGAGCTTATTTTACCCGCTTATTCAACACATTCTAATTACTGCCAATAACAAAAATTATTTTTGTATATAAGAATTTATATTTAAATGTACGGTAATTAATTACTTCGAACTATTTATTCCTTAATATTTTATTTAAACTGAAAACTAACCTCATTATCAAATAAGTAATCGCTCGCTCAATTTTACAAATTTTAAAATTGCGATTTTTTGTTGACTTTGATTAGCATTAATTGCTATTAAATATAATTTCAATATTAAAGGAAAAGTGAAACGGGAGTATACGTTGCTTCGAAAGTGTGAAATTTTGCTTCCGTAGGTCACTCGTTTTCATGGTACTTTAACGCAATGAAGGCAAAAATGTGCAGCTAAGGTTTCAACAGTAAACATACAAGTGATTTTCTCGGAGTGTATGTTTTACGCGTTCGCGTTGATACCATAAGAATTTGCTTTATGTAACTACTTTTTAAATGAAAGTAAAATCAATAAGGATTAAATATTAAATATAAAGACATTTGCACATTACGCCCTACAATCGTATTATATATTATCTAGAGTGATATTAACAGATAATTATTAAACAAGTTTCATACTCCAATATAGGTTTTTTTTTCTTTTAATATATATATATATATATATATATATATATATATGGCACATATGTTATTATTCTCGGTTAAATGTAGAAGTAATAATTAGAAAAGACGATATTCTTAGCCACTTGAGCTGTCTTTCATAAATGCCATTCTACTCACATTGACATGATCATTCAGCGATTAATCCAACGAAATGTTCCAAAATTCTTTACATGCGCTATATTATTCGAGTCACCGCCTGAAGAACAACAAACTCGCGTCAAAAGAGCCTTTTTGTTAAAAAAAAAAAAAAAAAAAAAAAACTATTAAGATAAAGAAAATAGCGAGATAAAAACCACAAGTACGGACAAAAGTAGAGAGTGAATGGAGAGTATGGAGGGGTTGGTGAGTCGGGGCAGACTAGGGAGAGTGGCTGAGAAGGCGGAGGAGGAGGCTGGAGGGGTAACGTCGGCTGGACTCGGGAGAGGTGTAGGCGAAAAGCGCGATACTGGTCGCCTTTGTCTTGCAAAAAAGTCGCGAGCAAATATATCACAGCAAGAGCCGCGGGCATTGTTTCACTCCTCGCATAATTACTGCGAGTCGTGTTTTAAAGTTAAACTTCAACCTAAATAAAGCTTAATGTTATTATATTGCGAGGGCGGTGAGACTAAGGGGTGGGAGGAGCCCCAGCTCCCGGTCATTATGCAACACCTAGGTGCCACTTTCAAATGTCGTTACACGTATGCACCGAGTGTGTATGAAACCGATCGTTTTCCCGCGCTCGCTTACTTTTCGCGCGCAATTTTCAGCTTAATTCGATTCGCAGCCCTTATTTTCCACAGAATATCCTCACGGTGGCTCGCACTTATCTCTCCCGTTTGCGCGCAGCTAACTGAATTAAAAATTTTTCCTTTTAACGGTAGAGATCATAAATGGAAATCAGTTGCTAGTACTCGCTGTAATTACCCTATCGTCCGGGGACAATATGAAGACGAATGGACGATTAATGGGCGTTAATTAAATATTTATGCAATCGATTGATGCGCGCCTCTTTGGCATCCCATTGGCATCGCGACGCATCGACAAGGACACGCTAGAAATTAAATAGCGCCAAGTGTCGCGACATATCAACACGTGTATTTAAGCGATCTAATTACACTCTCGCCAAAACAATGCATGGGCATTTAGGTGAATTTAATTTCCTCGGTAAATAATACAATAAGATTTATCTTACAGCTGATATGAAGCTTAGACCTTCGTTAGTAAATATTCATAGGGAAAGGTTAATTTAATAAAAATTATCATAATTTATTGCGCAGAGGTCGGATAAGTTTGCGTTTTAAGATACTTCACAAATCCTACGCACTCTCATAAAATATAGATAGCGTACTTTTTATCTGCATAATTTAATGCTCACCCATACAAATGGAAAGCAAACAAATTCCGATTGAAATGGGATTATCTTTGTAAAATAATATTAACGAAAGCGATGAAAATATTTGCGAGAGGTATCATTTTTATATAAATTAAAATGATAAAACAAAGGAAAACCGAAAGAACAAAAAGTATTGTTGCAAATCATAACGGAGGAGTATGGTAGGCGCATCGACGAAACAAACGGCTTATTCATTGCACTCTAACAATGTCGAATAATTTTTGAATCCGATCGAAAGGACATGGTGCGCGAGCCTCTGAATTCGCCGCCGGCTATTCGCCAAATGTGAGCAGTCGGTAAAATCGATAAGACCTCCTCACCTCCTAAACAGCGCGACATTCCTCGGAATCTCCAGTGATAACGGCAACCTCCAATAAATACGAACCCCTTATATACCCGCCGTTAAACTTAACGTTTATGAGGATTCCGCGTCATTCGAACGCCCCCTTGCGTCACTCTCGGCCCATTCGGAATTAAAATCAGCTCCCATTTCTACGACACTCCCGGCTCCCTTCTGTATTCCCATCGACAAGGCGCGATAATTGTGGATGGTGGGGAGGGGGAGGGGGTATAGGTGATGGGGGTGGAGGGAGGGGGGATATACCGGGTAGGAGGAGGAGGAGGGCTCGGTTGGCGCAAAAATTCGTCAAAAGGCCCGAGTCTAGGAGCGTAACGCTGAGCCCGGATACAAGTAAATATGTTTAACGTCCAGGGTGCGCGTGGACCGCGCGCGCGTACATTAACACGGCACGTCAATTATACCTATTCTCAATATCCATAATTATAATCGGTGAGCGAGTAGCAGTCAGCCAATTTCCTCGTATTACCCAGCCTTACCCTATCTGTCTGGCTCTCGCTCTTTGTGAGCCTCCGTGAATGGCGGGAGCCCAAATGAAATGACGACGTTCATTTGCAAACGTGTGGGAGTGCATTATTTTTATTGAGTTTATTAGCGGCCGAAGTCGCCCGTGTGCGAGCGTATGGTTATGCATTTCAAAATATCTACACGCGCCTCTTTCAGCCCCACATTTATAATACACATTTGCAGAGGGGTCGTCGCTATGAGAGAAGGACGGCGAGCGATGGGTTACCTTGTTGCGGAAGGGAGGCTGAAAGGGAGGACGACGATGATGCATCCCCCGAGAGTGGATCGATTGAATTCGTTGTGTGCTCTTTGAAAATACACTCGGCGTTGACAAAAAACACGATTGTACGTACGAATGAAAGTACGCGAGAGATAGAGAGACGCAGGCACAATAATATGAGAAACGCGAGACCCAATGCATCTTATATTAATGCCCTTGCTGAGCCGATTCTACATATCCGGATAATCGGGCGAACCGTGGCAACACGACGATTAACTTTTTTACTTAATTTCGTTGCTCGCAGGCTACGAATTCCCAAAGCTATGCATTTCGCAAAAATTATTGTATGCGATGCGCATTAACGGGTTATTAACGGTGCGCTAGTTGTTATGAGCGCGGACCGGACTGAATTATAAAATAAATATATATATATATATATATATATATATATCCGGCCATAATAAGTTTAATTTATTAAGGTTTCGAACTTGGTCCGATGATAGATATTGCCGATGCTACTTTCACATTTGAATTGCGACGTAATTGATAATATTATTTATCGAGGTAATCATAAGTAGTTGCCGTATTTTAATATAGCTTTTATCAAATAACTTTCAACTGACCTACATTAATTTACATTACAAACTTTATAAATAGATTTATTTTTATACTATCGTGACCATAGAAAGTGAAACAGTGCATGAGTGGTTTTTTTTTTTTTTTTTTTTTTTTTTTTTTTTTTTTTTTTTTTTTTTTTTGTACGGACATACACATCATCAGATATCATAAATCTTGTTTCAAATTAATGTTCGGAATTATTAAAAGTTTTATATTTCTTAATATAAAAATTATACGACTCTGTATGATTGTTTATAATACATGCTGCATATAATAATAATCTATGCATTCGGTAATTTTTTTTAGTACAGCTCCTTGATGTTACAAAATTGCCGTGTGCTTCGCGGTACCTCTCATACCTTATA